CTATATTTAGCTGTATACTCTACTGCTTTTCCACTGTACAATTTCACATGAGAAATTGAACTCCTTTCCACAAATTATTTTATAATTTTTTGGTATTTCATTTTTAATTTAATAAATTAGTTTCACTTTTATTCAGCAACATTTCATTCATGCTCTCGTAACTCACTCTGAGCTACTGGTTGTGATCATGCGAATATGAAGTAAGGACTTTTAGGAGAGAGTTGTTTAATGTAATTTCATACCACACGCGAATATAAAAAAAAAAAATCAGCTTTTCCCGGACAGCACAAACGTGTGTTCGGTGATGATGAAGGCGGGTGTCTCGGGTTTCTAAGAGTTCAGCGTGTATGTGTCTGTGGTTCTTTACTCTCTCAGTAGGTGCAGAGAATAGTGTCAAACAGCCGTGTGTGTATGGCTTATCCTGTCACTAAATGCAACTAAACTTCATACACGACGGTGGTTTGATTACGGTGTTTACATGTCTGAACTTCAATATTGCCACTAAAATAGGAATACTCCACATGTCCTAATTCCATTTGTTTTTAATGACGATTATGACTTTAAGCATATTTGAAGTTCTATTTCATTGCATGGTTACGAACTATAATGTCTTTGGCTGCGGTTCTAGCCTATGTTGGACCCAGCAGCCGCTGAACTCGAGGTTATGCCACACTCTCCCAAGTGACACGTGCAAGGCTAGCCTAGGTTGCCAGGTGTGTGCAAAGCACCTAATTTGCAGTTCAAATCCAATCCTCCCTGCAATCTTCAATGGTAATTTCACCCTCTCTCACGAGAACTCATCATATGAGATCTTGTCACACCCCTAATAATTACAATTGTGATGTTAAAAATACAGCACAACTGTACTTATTTATAGTCTTACTGGAAACCAGAGAGTTACTGTAAATTTTTACAGAACAGACATTAACAGAGATCATTTTTTATAGTGTACTGTAAGGAAACCTGTTTGAAAACAGCCATTATTAGGAAAATTACACACTTCAGCTTTCACTCAACATATACAGAAGAGAACTGATAATATACATAAAGGTGTTTGAAGGTGAACCACTTTTCCAATTCACAAAACATAAACCAAAGAAAATGAAAACTCTTGAGGGATTCAATTGGAAGACAATGCAAGAATTCTAAAAGCTTATGTCCAACGTTAACATGGGAAACCTGAGAAAAGAGGGAAAATAATACAGCAAAACAGGAAGAAACATGCGAGAGACATCAAATGCCAATGTGTTGACTTTAAAAAGGAATGTAACCAAATGCATTTCTTTCTGAAACATGTTTCTATGGACCAGGCCACGTTCAACTCAAATCTAAAAGCGGTCAGATTTTACAGTACAACCGATTCATGTACAAAAAATGAACAGCAATAACCAACCTATAGTGGACAGAAAACAATTAGGAAATGCATAAACTCAGTGAGCTTTCAGCCGATTTTGCATTGGTAATTCCCTTATAGACTATTTGAAGTTCAGTCCATCAGGAGACTTGTGAGGTCATGATATCACTTGTGCCACATAAAATCAAAGCACAAACAATACAGCAAGATCTAATGATGTTTAAGCTGAGTAAATCATTTAGCACCCCAAACGAATGAAAGATCCAACGAACGCAGCACCTAAAAGTGATTTGTCAAAGCCAGGGAATCTGGTACAATAAATAAGCACCGACGTTTCCTGAAAAGCCAGGGTTACAGTAAAGTTTTCTGAAGGGTTTTTTTTTTTTTTACAAAAAAACAACAACAATGTTCAGAAAAACAGATCTCATTGAAGAGACAGTAGCGTGAACATACCCATGCCACTCCGTGACTTCAAGTTCTCCAAAACACAGACCTTTCTATCCTTGTTGCAGCTGGAGCACTAGTTAAAACTCACTGTTAGAGCTAATGTGCTAAATCGACATGAAAAGATGTTGTTTCAAGTGCTGCAGTAGGAACAGCATTTTGGGTGTACAATGGTTTTGAACACTGATGTACACTAGTTAGCACCTTGAGGAAATTAAAAAGACATTTCGTAGGCGCATGTTCACTTTTAGACCTCATGTAAGAGTAATGTAAACTGTTTAAGCCAATATGTTGACTAGGCCTCTGGATGTATATGCGATTATGAAGTCGTTAACGGTGCACTAAGTGAATTTTGCCAATGATGTCTATATTTGAAAGCACCAAAACAAACATGGCATGTCCATGACCCAACAAAGCAGCACCTCTTCTGGGTTGCAAAACACAGACCCCTTACTATTAATTGGCTGAAAGTGTGTTTTGGGGTCAAAGGTGTTTTTCAAATTTAGCTTAGTGCACCCGGTCACATTTACCGTTGCTGAAATCTCCAGGCATATTTGAATAAAATCAATGTGCGATTAGCTTACGATTTCTGCATGCATATTTTGTCATGCTAATTCTGCGTGAGGAATGTTTGATAGCTGGAAATGTTTACACTGGTAAATATGGCTAATGTGACCACACCTTTTACGTTTTGTGTGTTAATTCAAAACACCAAAATAAAACTGAACGTTTATTTGTATAAAAACGCAGACACTGATCCACCCTCTCCCTGCATAAAATAATAATAATAGTAATTTAGGGTATGTTTACACAACATCAATGCACAAAATTGTGTTTTTGAAATGTTTTGTGTATAGTTAACGCTGTTAAAATGATCACCATTTTAACAAATTTGCAAAAAATACAGAAAATAAATGTTGTAACATGCATCCCAGCAGACACACGACATGCCTGCGCGCAGAGTCAAAAGGGGTGGGATTTATGTGCGCGCGAAGTGAAGAGCGAGGAGCGGGTAAGATGGTTGCGCGTTGGATTTGCTGCGCATGGTGACTGAACCAAAAAGCTAGCTGGATTGTACCAAAAAGCTGAGGATCAGATAGAGGGGTTGGGGGACGGAATTCCGGGAGTTTTCTAGGAGACAGAACAATACGGTAGATGGGTTTGAAATATGGGAGGCTCCCGGGAAAAACAGGAGTGTTGGCAGGAATTTAGTGACCAAAATTCAATGTCTAGTCATCGTCTAAGGACAATGTTATTTTGATGTCCAATAATGACGTCAAATGATGTTGATATTTGGTTAATTTTAGGTTGTATTGGAAAGTGACCAACGTTAAGTCAACATCTAAAACCAACGTCATATTGACGTCAAAGACTGACATCTATTCATCAGGTATTGCAACCAAAATCCAACGTCAGATAGACGTCAAAGTGGTCACACACAACGTCAAGCTGTAACATCATAAGACAATAGCTATGTTTTCATCCAAAAATGCGAATTAACTTTATGCGCAAAACTGAAGTATTGCATAAAAGACATGCGAATGAAGCAAGCGTTTCCATTGAATAAGTCAAAGCGAACAAAATCATCACTTTCTGATTAACTGGTGCCAAATGTCAACAGTAAAAATGGAATTTGCTGCGGTAGGAGAAGCTGCATGAATCTTTTCCTTATTTATTAAATTACTTGTGGCTCAGAAGACAATGCCGATGCGCAAATAATGTGTGGTGGCGTTGGAAGGCCTGAGAACAGGTGCGTTTGACAGTAGTTCTTGACGTTGTTAATAATATAATAACATTAATACTGAAACGGTTAAGGTGTTTTAGAATGACCAAGACATTGCAGATGTTTTACAGTGTGCTCAGCCTGCTGGTTTGTCCATTCACACACATTTTCATCATCATATGAGCTCTTATAACAAAATCACATGACCTTTTTTAATACGCATCTTGGGATTTTTCCGGTAAAAGAGTTTCCACTGTAGTTTATACGCATCTTTTCCTATTGAATAAAAAGTTTATCCTACTCAGTTATGCACATGTTTTTTATGCACATTTTTTAAATTTATGCTCATCTTGCGTTTCCGTCAATCCTTTTTTATGTGCATATCCAAAATGTGCATAAAAATAGGTGGATTGAAACATAGCTATTGATATTTGGCTTATTTTAAGTTGGACATTGACGTTGGCCTGACAGTCGGTTCTGACGTAGTCCTGTTTTTTATTTGCAAACAAAATGCATTGTCTTAATGACATTAAGGTACAACTTTAATCAGACGTCATTTTGACATTCTGAGCATGCTGGGATGGCAGGCCAGTAGATGGCGATGTCTGTAAAGAATCATTATCTATTTATTCACTAATATTATCTTTGCTTTGGTCAAGTACTTGCACATGCCTATAGACTGAATATACTGTATAATATGCGAGCACATCATTACAATACAATTTGCAAGTAGTTTTTGTAGATGATAAATTTGAAATGCTTTTAAAAGTTTGCAGTATCAGACTCCTAAAACATAAAATGAAAGTTCAAATTAAACTTTTTTTTTAAAGTGTGTTCAATTTTTAAGAAAAACAGTGTTGTGTAAACACTCCCTTAACATAAAAATGCTGCAATAAAAACATCTTAAATGACATCTCAGTTGGTGTCATGGATTACTTTAAAAGCACCAGTGAAAAACATACAGTAAATTCGTTTGAATGTGACATGCTTAAAGTGTATAAAACGATTCAGGTTTTTCAAGTTATGTTTTAACCTCTTTGGGAGTTAAAAAAATAGCAAAAAATACAAAAACTGTGACCAAATAATTTCAACTTAATACATAAGTGCAGGAAATAAACTAGTTTGGACAAATTGTCAAAATGCAGCATAAAACCTTTCATGATTATTGCTAAAATATGCAAAGTTTCATAATAATGACTGTCGATACCGAACGCATGTTCATACATGATCAAGATAAAACATACGTGCATATTGGAAACGTCAAAGGTCAAGTTGGTCTGAAGATAAAAAGTGCTTTTAAAAAAGATGCCAAGGACTATGTCTCACGATGCACCTTCATTACCAATACAAAAAGTTCTGGTAATGACCCATGCTTGTTTCATATTGGTCATTTAACTTTACTGCTACAATGGCACCATAAAATAGTAACTAGCATGTGTCGGACAATAGATTGCCAAAGGCTGAGACGAAGACGTAGAATTCACATTTGACAATGTCAAGTGTTTACTACACGCATCATTTTAAAGGATGACGAACTCCTATTGCAGTAAACAGGCTTGGATCAGAAATTAAATTATAAAATAGTTTTGAAAAAAAAAAGATCAGAATAAATAATCACATGTTCTATGCACTAATTTTCATCTATATGTATAAAACCAGTTTCATAACATCTGCTCTCTTTACAATAAAAAAACACAAACAAAGCACCAAAAACTCACAGTTAAAAACCCACAAACGGTAGTCGTAAAAAGCTGAGATGAAGAGCAAAACTTAAAAAGGGCACATGTAAAAATGGGCGTGAAAGGAAGAGAACTAGCTGAGGTAAGGCATTAGCTAGACAAGCACGGGGAACTTCACGTCCAGCGGTTGTAAGGCCCTGTGACGTGTGTGAGGGCATAAGGGGCTGACATGACCAGGCTGTCACGTGAAACTGTTAGCGACTGACGGGTAGGGACCTGAAACTTGTGTCTCTCATCTAAACAAGTCTCGTTTTCGCTGTCTGTGTCTGAATCCACCGGCTCTGACTGATTGTTGAGTCCTAAGCGCTCTGCTTGCTCTTTCTCTCTGGCCTTCTCTGCCCTTTTGGCCTCCCACTGCTGCAAGCCGTGGCCTGGGGCGTTCAGGCTCTTGTGCTGGTAGAAAACCAGAGAGATTCGGGTGGGGTGTGTGCGGTCGGGTCGAAGGATGGGAGTGGTTGCGTGCAGCTCCCGTCGAGCACATTCGATCAGGATGGAACCATGGGAAGGCGCCACTGCGACCCCGCCGATGTTTTTGTCAAGGAAATTGTGCTCGCTGTCTGACCACACTTCCTCTGCTTTGGCCACCTCTGGGGTGACCGGTTGTGCGGTAATGTTCAAACGGCTGTGGAGACCCTCGGCCATCGGCGGGGACAGTGGGGTGGGAGCAGCTCCTCCTTGGAAGCACCGCATTTCCTCAGGCTCGGATTTGAATTTTGGATTCGTCCTTACAGGGTCATTTCTGAATGGTTCCTGTTTGATAGTTCCATGTCTAAAAGGAGGGGAACCATTGAAGTGGGTGGTTCCTCCAGAGGGATCATGAGGGAACTTTGGGAGTGTGGATGTGCCAAAGCTGGAGCCCACAGGAGGTGTGCGGCAGCTGTTACTCTGGTTGTACGAGCCTCCAGAGTGCAAGGGTGAATATTGGCCTCCGATGTCAGGAACGCGCATGGTTGAACTTAAATTAGGCGAATTCTTTTCCGAAAAGGAGGAATTCTCAGTAGAGGTTTGTTTAAAACCTGCAAACAGAAGAAATGTATAATATTTAAAGGTGCCATAGAGAATGTTGAATGTCTGATCTCTACATAGTAGGTATGCGGCTTAGGTTAGTGCAAATATTCTCCAGAAATGGTTTCATATGCTCATTCATAACCACAAGAATTACCCCTACAATGAAAAGCTTGGACTTGGCCATATTTGGTAGGGCTGTAAATATTATTGAGCACTGCTCTGAGGCTTTGAAGCGTTAAAGTATATGATTAATAATAACCTCTACATAAACAGAGGAGTTTATTGGTTTCAGGTTTTTAACTTATATTATTCAGCTATGCCTAGATATATCCAGATTTTAATCTATGGCATCTTCAATGCTTCAATCTGCTGCCGTGAGGACAGGGGCTTACTCTTTGGATTACCGTCTGAAATATTTATGAAAAGCAAAAGATTCACTCTGCCTCACCTTGTCAAAAAACATTACAAAAACATAACACGTAAAGCAGGGCTTTCCAATCTGTTCCTGGAGCCTCTCCAGCGCTGCACATTTTCTTTCACTGAACGCCACTCTGCATCTCTGCTCAAGGAGATATCCACTAATAAGCACATGAGTATATTCAACTGGGTTAAATTAGGAATCCAAAAAGTGCAGTGCTGGAAAGCCTCCAGGAAAAGACTGAAAATCCTTGCTTTCAACATTAAACTTGTATACATGAGGAAGACGGCATGGCTTTTAAGAAGTAAGTCTTAAGTGGCGGGGATACCTTTAGGAGACTCGTTCTTCATTTTCACAGGGGTGACCTGCTTACTGCCCAGGCTGTTTAGTTTCTCAACATGGGCTCTCTTGGCCTCCAGCCTCCTCTTGTGTGCTGACTTGACGGGCTCGGCCAGCAGCCGCACTTCTCTTGGGAAAGCAGAGAGGACCTGCAGAGCCCCAGTTTTTATCTTGGCCCACTGGCCCTCCACTTTGCCAAACTCATCCGTGTCAGAGATCTTGTAGAGCGGCAGGACGTGCAGCTGCTCATCCTCTGGAATGTTGCGCACTGCGCGGTTATCTTCCTTGGTTAAAGTGCATACCTGTGGTTTACAGGAGGAAATTAATTAAATGTGTTTAGATCACCATTTGTCGAATGTGACCTGACTTTAAAGATCAACGTCTGCTTCTACATCATTTTACAGACTTCTACATGCGTCTGTATGCACTTGTTAAGTTGTGATGTATGAAATACTGTTTCCGGGTCTAAGTTGCTACTCATTTGACTTGACTAAATTTTTGTTTAGGACAACTTCTTAGTCATAGCACAAATAAAAGTGAATTTTAGATAAAATCATGGTGTAAACAACAGTCTCTGGAATTGCTGCATCACAGACACCATTTTTTTTAACAGTTTATAAAAAGTGAATCACTTTCTGGCCATTTGATATTAGGCAAGGATATATAAATGTATTGTGATCATAATACATCACTTTGTAAACGTTTATTATTACCATTTGATGAGCCTCCCCATACAGAATAAAGTTTGATAGGGTGTTTTGACACCCGGAATCCGCTTAAAGGTGCAAGATTTAACTTTGACACCCAGTGGTTAAACTAGGTATTGCGTTCCTGGGTCAAAGCACATGCAAGCGCAGGTTGCCAGATTGACAACATTTATTCATTGTGCCTGACTATCGAGACTAAAAGCTTATTTAAATCGTGTTCTAAATAAAAGCAACAGCAAGCAATTGAAGGAATATTTGGCATATTAAAATAAGTTTTTGTCGTAACCAACATCTGTAATTTATATTTTAAAAATGGCATTTACAGAAAATGTGATGACATGATCACCTCAGGTACACCTCATGTGCTTTATTCTTTATTTTATGCTTTATAAGAGACCATTTTTTGGTACTTGAAAAAAAGTTTGAGAACCACTGTTTTAGAGAATAAAAGTGCCACTTCCTAGGAAATGAACATGATATATCAATGATAAAAAATTTTAAAAAGTTGAATATTATAGCTGTAGTAGATGCAATAAACACTCTTGGGATAGGGGGACAAGATTTGACTCAATTAAGCACAAATGTCTTTTTATGTAAATTTAAACTTTAAGTGCACCAAAGTGTTACCATTCCTCATTTTTAAAATGCCATATACTAAAATGTGCATTAAAAATAAGTGGAATGAAATATAGCCTTTAAGTATTACAATTAATAAAAGAGCTCACTCCATTTGAGGTCTACTATAGAAGTAATAAATTGTGACTCAGATCTAGACTTAGCGGAGGTTCATTCCGCTGTGGCGACCCCGGATTAATAAAGGGACAAAGCGAAAAGAAAATGAATAATTGAATGAATGAATGTACCTAGACTTAGCATTTAAGTATTTACTAGGTTTATTACCCCAATCCTTTGAAAACAATGCATTTGAATGAGATTGATGGGTTAATGGTGGATTATTCCGCTGTGGCGACCCAAGATAAATAAGGGACTAAGCCGAAGGAAAATGAATGAATGAATGATGGGTTAACAATGAATTTAAAGAGACTCTGAAGGCACTATTTTTTTCTGAAAAGCTGGAAAGGGATCATTTAAATATCTGTTTGTAGCTGCATTTACCTCTAATTCTAGGTGTCTTGGTTTTTCTAACTGTTTTCTTTTTTTAGTTGTAGAGTACGAGATAAAGCGGAAGGAAATATAGCTATTGTGATAGTGGAGATGAGCCTCACCACAGTGCTTCCATTGGTCATGTTATGTGTGTCTTTGTGGGCATGAGCACAGAAATCCACACATGCTGTCACACCAGAGAACGGTCGACCTTCCCTACAGCCCAGACGACAGTCCTGCCCCCGCTGCTCCTGCTCCACCTGATGGGTACAAACATAAGCAGAGCTCAGTTAGCTTTTTTTTTTACTTTTTATCCCACCAAAAAACAAGTCACATGATCAGCTTACATACTTGGTTGTGGAAGGCCTTCGGTGCAAGTCTTTTGTACACTGGTGCCAAATCTGATGCCAGATTCTGCAGGTTTTTTTCCAACCTCCCCTCCTGGTCACAAAAAGAAACATTATTGCAGTTTTAAAGATGAGGCAACACTTTATTTTATGTACCATTTGAGTATTAGTACACTGTCTGCTTAATATCAGTTGATATGCTCCTTTAACAGAAATTTAACTGACTATAAGAAATTTTGCAAGTACATGTAAATTTACACTAACCCTAATCCAAATCTTAACCCCAACCTAACAGTCAACTTATAATCTAATGAGAATTAGTTGGCAAGCAAATACAACTTAAATTCAACAAACAGACCATCAAAATAAAGTGTGACCGAAGGTGATTTTGAAAGATCATAAATACACTTTCAATTAAATGTTTGATCAATTTGTTGTAAAAAAAAATCTTGTTCACACGCTCACAAAGCATGCGTTTATTCGATAAAAAGTCCAGCAAAATCAGTGATACTGTAAATATCAATTATCAAAATTAATGGATGTGTTATTATGTTGCTCAGTGGAGTGACTGGTGGTCTTTAAAAGGTGAGTTTCGTTTATTTTAATATCCTGATTATACGACAAACTTTTGGGTTTTGGGTCTCCTTGAAAGATATCCATTGTGTTATGTGGATATTTGCAAGTGTAGTGACTAATTGCTGCGCATTTCTTAAGTTGTTTGTGTTGTGAGAATTTGTAACACGTGTGCTGTCAAATTAATGGTGATCGTTTCTTTATTCGCTGGTGTATTTTTTGTAACTGCATGTGCTTTCTTAAATTGCAGTGCGTTAAGCTCTCTTGGCCACCGTACCTTAGGGCTCATTCACAAAACACTAAAAACAATAATAACAAACCAATTAGAAATATTTAAAGAATTCCTACATAACAGATGTAAATTTTTGCTTTTATTTAATTGTATTTTTTATACTTTTATTTATATTTATTTTAGTCTTTAGTGTCACATGACCCTTCAGACATTCACACACACACATTCACACACACATTCACTATGGCCAATTTAGTTCATTCAGTTGACCTGTACTGCATGTCTTTGGACTTGTTGGGGAAACCAGAGCACAAGGAAAAAACCCATGCGTAAACAGGAAGAACATGCAAACTCCACACAGAAATGCCAACTAACCCAGTCAGGACTTGAACCAGCGGCCTTCTTGCTGAGGCGACAGGTCTAACCACTGAACCACTGTGTCGCCATAATGTAAAAATGTTAAATCTTACTGACACAACTTATTTCACTAAGAATAAATATATGTTTCTGTTTATTTTGTTTATTTGACAGGGGCTTTTCAAATGAATGTTTTCACACAGGGGTGCCCCGGTAGCTCAATGGTTACTAATGTTGCCTCACAGCACGAAGGTCATTGATTCGAGTCCTGGCTGGTCCAGGGGGCATTTTTGTGTAGAGTTCTGTGTGTCAAATTAGTTGTAGTGTATGATATGAGTATGTGTGTGAACCAGAGAGTGTATAAGTGTTTCCATCACTGGGGGTTCATAAACTAGTGGACTCTCAGTGCCAGGTTAGAACAGGAAGGGCATGCGCTGAATAAAACATATGACAGTAACAGGTGGTTTATTTAGCTGTGGCAAGCTCTGATAAATCAGGAACTAAGCCAAAAGATAATATCAGAGTTATATTCAGTGTTTGTAATTTAGAAAGCTCCAAAAGCTTGGCTGTTAAATTTACAGTGCTACAATCTATGCAGTTGATCTCGATGGTTTTGTTTAATATCACAACAATAAGTTGCCGGTCCTACAAGTTCTACTTAATAAAATGCTATAAAACTCAGCAAAACTACAAAGGTGTATCAACATTGGGAACTACATTAACCAATTAATTTCTTGATTATTACAGTAGTTGTTTTGTTGTCCACTGAAAAAAAAAACAGTTAGTTCATTGTACATAAAAAAGTGAGTAAACCTGTTGCCTTATGATTAATTTTAAGTCAAGTTAAGTCAACTGCATGTCCTCCCCCTGTCCGGGTGGGTGCTCTGGTTTCCCCCACAGTCCAAAAACATTTGGTTTAGGTGAAATGGGTTAACAGAATTGGCAGTAGTGAATGAATGTTTGTGAATGTGGGTGTCTCCCAGTGCTGGGTTGTGGCTGGGAGGGCATCTACTGCATGTCATGACTGTGTTTGTCCACCAGATGCCACTGTAGTTCGCCAGCAACCCCCAGCGAACTACAGTGGCTTTAGAACTACATTTCCATACATTCTTTCGCGCACACACCCGGTCTGTCATCTACACTGATTTACAACCACAGCTGTCTCCGTTCTCCGTTGATTACCTGGACTATATATATTCAGTCATTCATCCTCCGTTTGTCAGTTGGTCATTGTCGTTTATATCGGTATGTTTGTTCCTGATTCCAGTCTTTAGCCTGTTATTCTTGTTAAAGTCTAGTTCAAGTTTTAGCTGTTTGAGTTCCTGGTTTGTTTGTTTATTTGTTTATTTTGTTTGTTGCTTTGCACTTTGCATTTTTGTATTTTTGTCTCTTTCTCTGCACTTTACATCAATTAAAACTGCACTTGGATTATACACCCCCCCCCCCCCCCCCTTGGTCCTGATCACCATAACATTACGCTGCATAAAACTTATACTAGAGTAATTGGTAGTGGTGGGCAAAGCGAGGCTTCGTGAAACACTGAAACAGTCGAAGCAAATGTGTCGAAGCTTCGAAACGTTTCGAAACTTCACTCTACAGTGACATTTAGTGGTCATTTTTTATATATATTGCACTGAAACAGCTTCAGCAAAGAACGATTGAACAAATTGAGGGATTAAACCCCACTTTGTGAAAGTGGAATCCTTCAAGTAACATAGTACAGTGGTTAAGGTGTCAGACATCCATGCAGGAGTAGAAGGTTTCGAAGCCAGTCAGTAGCAGTTGTTTTAAAATGCTTTAATACCAGTTGGTAATGCTTTGCTCTTGTATCGTTTTGTTTCAACATTGGTCTGATATCCGAATAAACAATTTGTGAATAAATATGTCTTGTTTTTGTCTTAAAACAGGGTTGTTGCTAGATCAAAAACGGTGGCCTGAAGTTATCAAGAATTATTTATATTATTCATTAAATTTCCCATTTATTGTATTTTATTAATGTCTACCCAAACCCTAAACCCAACCATACTGTAAAAATATTTATTATTGTTTTACAGTGTTACAAAAATGATGCTAAATTGATGGCGTAACTGTAGCTGTATCCTATTTAGGCTACACAAAACAGAAACATGATTAAAATACATAAAACCATGATTTCGAAGTCGGGATTCGAACCCAAAACATCATGCTAAGCATAGAATCAATAAGCAAACCGACAGTGCTCTAAGCCATTTGAGACAGAGATAATTTGGAGACCTTGGCAGTCAAATTAGGATTCACCAGGTCTCGAAACGTTTCTAAGCTGATCGATGCTTTGAATCGCTTTAGTCACGTGACTAGGTGTTTCGAAACACTTTAGTCACGTGACTTGGGTGCTTCGGATCATGCTTCGGTGCAGTGATTCGAAACACTTGCGCTTCGGGATCTCGACACTGTGTCAAAACATCAGTTTCACGTCAGCCATCCCTAGTAATTGGTAGTTGTTTCCAATGGGGACTAAGCCAAAAAAAGAGTTAGAGAAATGTTAGGTCAACTTAACAGTTACAATGGCAACAAAAATATAGTCTACTTGTCACTGTTAAGGCAGCAGGTTTACTCACTTTATAAAGTAATTCATCACTTTTTTTAAAGTGTATTTTGAATTTTACATTATCTTGATGCCTCCATTGAAGCATGTTGAGGTCCCCTAAACTGGGCTCTGGTTTCTTATATGCACTTAACAAAATCACTCCACCACTGCAATTCAGACACCTAAATCGGTTGATAGCGTAACTATGAGTATCAATGTAAAAAGACAACTTGTTTCTATTGAAAAGCAGGTTCATGACTTTTAAACTACTCAATTGTACAACATGTATTTTAGCACCTGCAACTATTCTGTGCATTTGCCATTGATGCGAGTCACATCATGTGAGTAATTTTATACTAACCTAATGCCAACAGAGGGAAACGGGTAAAACTGATTCAGGTAAACAATGTAATTCAGGCATGCTCACACAGGATAGTTAAATATCGCTTTTAAAGTTGATTTTAAAAATCAGCATATGTTTGTGTCGGAGCGAAATATTCCCATATAGAGATCTGATGTATGGAAATATGTGAAACTTGCATATATGACATAGAAGTCCATATTTGGAATTTTGTTATATAAAATATGTCACAAATTCAACATATATTTCATAATATTGAAATGGGCTCATACATATTTTCTTCCGACCATTGGATTTACAAATATGTAAATATAAGTTTTCTAGAACAAAGACATTTGATCATATTACTCCAGTTCTTTCTAGATTCTATCACTGTTTTATTGCTCTTATCTGTTAAATCTCTCTTTTATATTCTGCTTCTCTGTTTTTAGCACTCCTATGTACAGCACTTTGGTCAACCTTGGGGTTTTTTAAATGTGCTCTATAAATAAATATTGTATTGTTTTGTATTGTACATTGCATTGGCTCCCTGTTAAATATCATATACGTTTAAACATTTTATTGACTACCTACAAATTCATCAATGGCTTAGCTCCCCAGTATTTGAGGAAGTTCCTGGTGTATTATAGCTCCTCACGTCCACTATGCTCAATTAATTCTGGACAATTGATTATTGTCCAGAATCTTTCTCATATCTGGTATTATTAGCCCCCCTGAATTATTAGCACCCCTGTTTATTTTTTCCCCAATTACTGTTTAATGGAGGGAATATTGTTTCAGCACATTTCTAAGCATAATAGTTTAAAAAACTTATTTCTAATAACTGATTTATTTTATCTTTATCAAGATGACAGTAAATAATATTTTACTAGATATTTTTCAAGCTACTTCTATACAGCTTAAAGTGACATTTAAAGGCTTAACTAGGTTAATAAAGTTAACTAGGCAGGTCAGGGTAATTAGGCAAGTTATTGTATAACGATGGTTTGTTCTGTAGACCATCGGAAAAAAAATTAGCTTAAAGGCCATTTTGTCCCAAAAATGATTTTTAAAAAATGAAAACTGCTTATACTCCAGCCAAAATAAAACAAATAAGACTTTCTCCAGAAGAAAAAATATTATCACATACTGTCAAAAATTCCTTGCTCTGATAAAAATCATTTGTGAAATATTAAAAAAAGAAAAAAAAAATCAAAAGGGGGCTAATAATTCTGACTACAACTGTAAATCAGATGTTTGTCTTAAATATCTGATGGATTTTTCCAGTGTTGAAAAATAAAGCGAATGTATAAACGCCTTTCCATCCAATGCTCACCTCCTTAGGAGAGTCTCCCTGCAGTCTGAACTTGCGGGGTGTTTTGCTGCGTGCAAACTTGCAACCATTGAAGTACATACTCCAGGAGCAACCGAATGAGAAAGAGGCACCGCAGGTCTCCGGGTCCAGACCCTGACATGCACAGGTACGACTAACAGGAGAGATGAAGAAGAGGAGGTCAGTTACTGTGTAGTAATAAACTGTACTTTATTACATTGCCCTCTCAAGTGCTTGATTCTGATTGGCCACTTGCTACATTACAAGGTTATTTGTAGGACACAACATTTGGGTTCAGAAAGTAAAAAAAAAACATTAATTTTCTCCACGGCAAAAATGATTTTGAACAAAAACTGATAACATTTAAAAACAAAAGCCTGTTTTGAGCTTTTAGGCTGTTGATATACATCAGTTGTATGTGTCTCTCAGGTTTCATCTAAAATACCTTAATTTGTCTTCTGAATGAAGGTATCGGGGGGATTGGAATGACATGAGGGTGAGTGATTATTCATTCATTCATTTTCTTTTCGGTTTAGTCCCTTTGATAATCAGAGGTCACCACAGCGTACGCAGCGTATGCCCTTCCACCTGCAACCCATCACTGCGAAAAATCCATACACACTTATTCACACACATACACTACAGACAATTTAGCTTACCCAATTCATCTATAACACATGTCTTTGGACTATATATATATATATATATATATATATATATATATATATATATGTATATATATATTAGCGCTGTCAAAATTAGTGCGTTAACGCATGCGATTAATTTTAAATAATTAACGCATTAAAAAAATTAACGCAATTAACGCAGTTGCAGGTGTTTTTTACTTCCTGTTTTGGTGGACGTATGTTTAACATGTAAGAAATGTGGATAAGACGAGGGAAGCACTTTTTGAAGGCAAGTTTTAGTATAAAACAATTAGTCGCATCACCAGGCTCTCCAAAGTTTAAATTTCGACTTCTGTTGTTGATACCGCATGGCGAACAGAAAGAAAATCCTCCACATTTCGTGACTCGGTGTTCCTTTAATGTTATAAAATCACTGCTTAGGCTACATGGTAGAATTTTAATAAGAGTATAATCTTAATCATATTAAAATCGGAGTATTGGTGTCTTATGTGAATGTACTCAGAAAGTCTCTGGTGAAGTCGCGAGCTGTCAAAGACAGGGCATTACTCTGTCTTTCAGCATGAGCCCTCCAAGTTTAGCGTGTTTCCTCATTAAACGCAACGAAAGCGTTTGCTTCGCGTTGTTGTGGCAGAAACCTTGTGAAATACAGTAATAATTTAGGACGCTTAGTTTAAGCAAATTTGATGAACGTGATCATGCGTGTTGAATCTGAGGGGAGTCGCTCCAGTATGGAAGGCCGTTGGGGCCAAAACGTCTGCAGCGCGTTGTGTGTGTGTCTGTGTCAGGCCCGTTGAGGGGTGTCAGGGGTGGAGTGAGCAACATATCTAAGTAGGGGCGTGTGCACGCGAGACCTACCTGAAGGATGGTGGGGGTGAGTTGCGCGCAACATAGGCTACCTGAAGAGCTAGGAGGGATGCAGGGGAGAGGGGTGTGCAATGTATTTAACGACCGGTTTGCGAGAAATTATCATTCATTAGCGGGCATTTGGGAGTCTCTGTGCACTTGTGGGATACTCCTAGTCTTAGCAACTGAATGAATGTAAAGGAGGATTAAGCAAAATTGTTTCTACTCTATAACTAATGTTCTCAACTCACAGCAATAAAACTTTACAATGAGTGCAACAGTTTGTATTCTATAGTTTATTATTATAATTTTTCATTTTCAATATCTGCAATTCCTGTATTTTGGCATTTGCAGTCCACTTAGAAACAATGTTTTCTTTATTGGCATTGATTGTTTTGAAATTGAAACGGCATTAACATGCCTGTGTTTTAATTTCTTTAATAAATATGGCTGTCAAGCCAGGATCTTGATGGTTTATTGTGGGTATGTTGTTTACATGAAGAAATCTGTTACAAGTTAAACAAAAATTCTATTAAACAATTATATTTGAATTTTAATTCTAATAAACAATTATATTTTGAATTTAAATAGTTTTTGTCTTGCGTTTACATTAATATTACATTTGAATAGCCAAAATTACAAGTTTCAGTATTTTAAATGTGATTAATCGTGATTACTTTTTTAAAAAATGTGCGATTTAATTAGTAAATTTTTTAATCGATTGACAGCACTATTATATATATATATATATATATATATATATATATATATATATATATATATATATATATATATATATATATATATATATTTTTTTTTTTTTTTTTTTAATGTTACATTTATAATTTAATACTATAATATATATATATATATATATATATATATATATATATATATATATATATATAACCCTCACCATAAACCGATTCACCTTTCATAGGTTCGCTGTTTCGTGGATTTTTTAATGCAATTTGACATTTTTCACACATTTTGTTCTGCATCCTATTGGCTGTAGACCATTGTCAATCAAACTCCTCCTTGCCATTTCTCCTATACAGTACAGAACACATTTAGCTTGCCAAATTGACATAAATGTGTGATCGTTAGCAGTGTGACTCTGAACTGCTGTACTGGGATGTGTTTCCGAAAATCATCGTTAGCCAACTATAGTCGCAAATTTGTTGTTATGAACAAAGTTCAGTGATTTGGTGTTTCCCAAATCCATCTGTCCAATGAACATTCGCAAACTGCGTTGTAAACTTGTATGCTTGCAACTACACCTCTGGAGCTGTAGTTGGTTAAACATAGTTCTTGGCTGTTTTATTCCCAGTTATCCCCCTATGCCCTATTCATTTAGAACATTCTAACATTTAAACTTGGAATTATTTTTTTAAAAAGCATTAAAGCACATCTTTAGTCTCAGATTTCTGACACTTCTATACAGCTTAAAGTGACATTTAAAGGCTTAACTAGGTTAATTAGGTTAACTAGCAGGTTAGGGTTATTAGGCAAGTTATTGTATATCAATGGTTTGTTCTGTAGTCTCGAAATATATATAGCTTAAAGGGGCTAATAATTTTGACCTTAAAATGTTTTTTAACAAATTCAAAACTACTTTTATTCTAGCCGAAATAAAACAAATATTATCAGACATACTGTGAAAATGTCCTTGCTCTGTTAAACATCATTTGAGAAACAGTTAAAAAAGAAAAAATCATTCAAAGAGGGATAATAATTCTGACTTCAACTGTACATTTATTATATGGATTATTATCTACATAATTTAACAAATAAGTTATCTAATGTTTTTTTTTTGGTAAATTAATACTTTAAGTAATGATCACTGAATTGCCACTTTATATTAAACCAACTCTTCAACTTCTACGACTTTCAACTTAACCACCCAGCTCTTTTTAGCAGGGATTATACAGTCACAAACTGATCGTGTGAAGGAGTTGGTGCGAAGAAAAGTTCTCATGCTGCTCCGACACTTCATCAAGAGCAACCTCCAAATGTTCTTTTGTGTTAGTGTGAGGGAGTGTGTGTGTGAATCATTCCCACACTCTGTCCGTATGTTACTTGTGACTCACTCCTCATTGAGGGCACAGCGTCGGCTAGTGGGCGAGCCATATTTGCAGAGCGTCTGCGTGAGCTCCTGGTACAGCCTGTCAGCCACGCTGCGTGGGATCCCCTCCCAGGCCAAGATGAGGATGACTATTACTGCGTTCTGACAGCAGTGACCAGCACGCTGCCGCACGAGACACAGCAACTTCTCCTGCTCACTGCCTCGACGTATGATCTGGAGAATGAACACATGTTATATGAGGGAACAGACATTCTGCAAGCTCTTCTTCATGGGCTGCTGCGTTTCATGCAGGTGACTCACCCACTTGGCGATTGGACAACCCTGTGAGCTTCGACCTTCTTTGCCAGTGTACACTACGACCTCCACACGAACTGCATTACCTTTCTCACCATATCTAAGAAGAAAATAGTGCAGTGTGTTAAGCACAGTATAAAAAGTAGCAAGTAGTGTTTAATGCCTATTTTTTGGATGCAACACATAAAGTCATTGTTTGTGAAGTTTATTTATAAACTAATTTTGAGAGGATCATGTGCTTATGACTGCTTGCAGCTGGTCCCACATTATTCAATTTATGATTCACCAATCAGACGATTCCTAGGCCACTGTAAATACCCTTAATTTCCATAAAACCTTCATCTTCATTTTGAAGAATCCCCCCTTCCACCCCTACTCCTCCTACCCCTTTCCTACATGGGTGACACGGTGGCCCAGTGGTTAGCACGGTTGCCTCACAGCAAGAATGTTACTGGTTCTAGTCCTTACCACGCCAACCGATGTTTCTGTGAGGAGTTTACACATTCTCCCTGTGTTCAAGTGGGTTTCCCCGGGTACCCCAGTTTCCTCCCACCGTCCAAAAACATGCAACTTAAGTTAATTGACTAATGCAAATTGGGACCATAGACATGCTCCTAGTAAGGCAGCGGTCACACTGAACTTGTCTCCCCATAAACTTCCATTCATACGCACACGAATGCGTCAGATCGGAAACACAGGGTCATGCGTCAAGTTTCGCAGGTTGCTGCAGTGCAAAGTTCAAACTTGGTGAACTCTGACCTGCGAAATCGCATCACTAGACTGCGTGAGACCAATTGAGGATCAAAACATGACCTGTCTGGACAGAAATTTTAAATATGGAGCAATTGCTTGCTTCTTAAATGTCTAATCATCTTGTTTAATCCCGCCCCTTTTCGCAGAGCCGTATGACAGAATTTCGCAAACTCAAACTCTGATGTGACCGTAGCTTTAGTAGTTATCTCTTAAGATCAATCACTATCTGTTCATTAGCTACTACAGCAGGGGAGTTCTCAAGATCTACCTGAGCTCAAACTCCCCTCTCGCCTTCCAAACGAAAGGGAGCCCCGGGCTCGAAGATCTCAGGGCTCTCTCCCGGGACAGCATGCCAAACAAGCTTTATAACCAATCATCAGCTAAGTGTGAACTCTTGAAAGCCCTATTTGAAGTTATCCTTACAGGTTTAAAAGTGAAGTTACAATAATAAAATTTAGATGTCAGTTTCAGTCTGTTAGTTTTAAGAATATCTACTAGCTGTGTGCTCCAAAACCTTATACTTCAGTTTCAGACATCCCCCCCCACCCTCTTTAAGGTGCTTTTCATTTGCTTGCATTTAATTTGCTTGAGCTCAAGCACTCTCAGTGGCCCGGTGAGGCGGTGATCTTGCTGTGGGGCAACAGTGCTGACCACTGGGCCGACGGGCTGCCCAATCTAATTGAAAAGGGGAGGAGAAGGAGAGAAAGGGGAGATTCTTTCAGACAAATGAATACTGGTTATTTATAGTTACTTAGGAATCATAGAATTGGAGGATCATTATTAGCTAATGCGGGACGGCTGTGGTCAATTATAAGCATGTGATCCTCTCAAAATTAGTTTATAAATAAACTTCACAAAACTCTCAACCTAACTTTTCAGTTTTCATTGATATTGTAAGATGGTTGTAAAATGACAAAAGGTTGTGCATGAAGAAGGCCAAAGGGATAACACTTTCAGACACATCAAGAGAAGTTAGTCATTTCTTTTCTGCGATTTCCAGAATATTGCATCTTTTCAGCGTCACTAACTCCCTCATTTAAGTCGCCCCAACAGGCTGGTCATTTCTGAATGACAAATACATAATGGAAAGCATAATGCACTGAATCTCAATGGGCAGTCTGTTCAACAATGCAAACTTAGGAACATTTTTTCTAAAAAGAACCAAATGTAACTTATTCGGACCTTTCAGCGAAAAGAAAAGTGACTCATTGCTTAAGCACACATTTTCCATCTAAAATGACAAAATACAGGAAACTACAAACCAGCAGGGCAGCCAAGCAACACGTAAACCTTGAGAGAGATGACGAGGTTTAGGGTGACTGGTACTGTAATACACTTCATATGTAATTTTGGTATGTTCTAAATTGGATATATTGACCTCTAGAGAACATTCCAGAGTGAAAACATGTTTTTAAACAGAAAATAGGCCCTTGTGAATGAAAGACTTTGATAGGTAAAACTGCTGAAAACTTCAGGCCCCCATGATCCTTTGCACAGGGAAGAACAGTGTTATATACACTTAACTGCCGCTTTATTGGGTACACCTTAATAGTTCTGGGTTGGACCCATTTTGCCCTTTAGAACTACCTTAATCCTGCATGGCATAGATTCAACAAGGCACTGAAAATATTCCTCAGAGATTTTGGTCCATATTGTCATGATGGAATCATGCAGTTGCTGCACATTTGTCGGCGGCACATCCATGATGTGAATCTCCCATTCCACCACACCCCAAAGGTGCTCTATTGGATCAGGATCTAGAGACTGTGGAGGCCATTTGAGTACAGTCAACTCATTGTTATATTTAAGAAACCAGTCTGAGATGATCTGCACTTTATGACATGGTGCGTTATTCTGCTAGAAGTAGCCGTCGGAATATGGGTTCACGGTGGTCATAAAGGGATATACAAGATCAGCAATGATACTCAGGTAGGCTGTGGCATTGACGCGATGATCATTTGGTACTAATGGGCCTAAAGTGTGGCAAGAAAATATCTCCCACACCATTACACCACCCCCTCCAGCCTAAACCGTTGATTAAAGGCAGGTTGGATCCATGTTTTTATGATGTTAAGGCCAAATTCTGACCCGACCATCGAATATCGCAGCAGAAATCGCGACTCATCAAACCAGGCGCCATTTTTTCCAATCTTCATTCATTAATTTTCTTGTCAGCTTAGTCCCTTTATTAATCCGGGGTCGCCACAGCGGAATGAACAGCCAACTTATCCAGCAAGTTTTTACGCAGCGGATGCCCTTCCAGCCGCAACCCATGTCTGGGACACATCCACACACACACACACACACACACACACACACACACACACACACACACATTCACACACACTATGGACAATTTAGCCTACCCAATTCACCTGTAAGACATGTCTCTGGACTGTTGGGGAAACCGGAGTACCCGGAGGAAACCCACGTGAACGCAGGGAGAACATGCCAACTCCACACAGAAACGCCAACTGAGCCGAGGATCGAACCAGCGACCCGGCGACCTTCTTGCTGTGAGACGAACGTGCTAGCCACTGCGTCACCTTTTCTTATCTTGTATTGTCCAATTTTGATGAGCCTGTGCAAATTGTAGCCTCAGTTTCCTTTTCTTAACTAACAGGAGTGTCACCCAGAATGGCCTTCTGCTGCTGTAGCCCATCCACCTCAAGGTTTGGCGTGTTGTGTGCTCAGAGATGCTCTTTCGCATACCTCTGTTGTAAGGAGTGGTTATTTGAGTAACTGTTGCCTTTCTATCATCTCAAACCAGTCTTACTTGTTGTTTCCTCTTTTTTGAAGCATACTCTGTAAACCCTAGAGATGTTTGTGTGTAAAAAAAAAATCCCAGTAGAGTTATCCCACAGTTTCTAACGGTGAAATATTTATACTGTGCCTTTAATTACAGACTTGCCATGAAACTTACAAACTGATATTTTTTTGTTGGTTTGCTTGTTTATATCACTTTCCTCATTTGTAAATCACTTTGGATAAAAGCATCTGCTAAATTATTAAATGTAAAGTGGTTTGGACTGAACTAATTTGCCAGGTTTATGGTTCGAGGTCTGAAGCTGTATCTGATCAGAACATTTGATTGAGGGCAATAAAGCGCTGCTATGCAAATACTGTTAGTCTCATAGTTCTGAATATAGAGCTGATGGGAAATAGCATAATCACAGCATAATTCTACCTCCGCTAGAGCAGTGCAGTAGTAACCTGTCAAACTCTGTGGTGAGAGTCTTTCTATGGGCCCCCTGAACTCAGTTATGGGCTTCCTGTTTCAGCTTTAGAAGAGCATGATAATATGTGTTTCTGCTGAAATGCATTTGTGGTTGCTTCTTTGAATGTAGATCAGCCTGTATCCACATGTATACTTATCTATCAAAAATCATTACACAACAGGGTTACATAGTCAGTATTTTGTTACCAAGTTTATGCAGATACTGTACATTATTAGTGCTGAGAATTTGACTGAACATGAAAAGTCAGATTATTACCTATTTTCTTATTAATTCATGTGTAAAAAAACATTATAATAATTATATATTAACAACTGTAGTTGTTAAAATTTATTCATTCATTTTCTTTTCGGCTTAGTCCCTTTATTAGACTGGAGTCACCACAGGGGGATTAACCACCAACTTTTCCAGCACGTTTTACGCAATGGATGCCCTTCCAGCAGCAACCAAATTACTGGGAAACATCCTCACACTCTCATTCATACACATACACTATGGACAATTTAGCTTATTCAATTCACCAGAAAACCCACGTGAACACGGGAGAACATGCAAACTCCACGCAGAAATTCCAACTGATCCAGCCGAGGTTCGAACCAGCCACCTTCTTGCTGTGAGGCGATCATGCTACCCACTGCACCACCGTAACACCATTGTTAAAATTATAATATATATTTTAAAATCATTATTGAATAACAAAATAAAAGATGTAACTAATTTTCCCTGACACGGGTTGCGGCTGAAAGGGCATCCGCTGCGTAAAAACATGCTGGATAAGTTGGCGGTTCATTCCGCTATGGTGACCCCAGATTAATAAAGGGACTAAGCCGACAAGAGAATGAATGAATGAATAAAGATGTAAATAATATCAAATACACTTAGAATGAAAAAAGGTTTATGTGTAAACAAAGAATATAATTAGAATAGGTATAATTATAACTTATAATGCACGTGCGTATGTGCGGCCCTGGAAATTTATAGTTATTTTTTCAAGTAAGTCATAATGCTGTTTTTATTCTGTAAACTACTGATGGAATTTATTATAAATTCAAAACAAAAATTTCGCAATTCAGATCCTTTAATTCATTTTAGAGCATAAAAAATGCTATGTTTATATAGCTAGAGGTTAACTATGCTTATATATTATAACTTTAACTGTTAAAAGCTATTAGTTATTTGTTTATTAGTTAAAGTCTTCAGTAACTAATAAAGTTATGGTAACTTAGCGCGCACTCACACTATGTTATCCGAATCTTGCCCAGGCGGGTTTCCTAATTCGTTTGAGAAGTGCGGGTGCTCTGAATCGGACTCAGGGGCGGTTCAGTTGGCTGGAAATGGTCAAGTTGGAAGAGGTGTGCCAGAGCGTGGTTCAGTTGGGCTTTGGCGTGGTATGCTTGTAGTGTGAGTCCACAGCACACCTAAGGCCAAAACTAAAGATGCGAAGTCACTTTTAGGGGACTATTTCATATAGATTATTTTAATTATTCCTACTGTTCAATGAACCAAAACTGTCACAGTTTATTAAAGACGCAAACCCCTCGCTGCACGTCAGCTAAACCTTCAGGAAACCTCCTAATACCTGCATTATTTTCAATGAAAAATACTTGAAAAGATTTGGTATTCTGACCAATAGTTAATTTGAAAAAAAGAACAAATAGGCATTTTTCCATCCAGAGCTGTATAAGATGCAATTGAGATCCTCTTTACCTGGTCTCCATCATCTCTCTCACTGCTGCTACATTAGGGCCAGATCCAAGGTGAGTGTAATACGGACCCTCCTCTTTCTCGATAATATGTTCTGTGGAAGCAAATGGTGTCAAACAGACATCTAGCAAACTTCTACTTTCAAGTTATTGTTTGAATTGTTTTTGGCATGTTTATTTAAAATGATCAGGATGAATGTTTGCTTTCAAACAATCAGTGGCAAGTTTTACACATAGCATGCCATGGATTATAGACCAATTGTACTATAAAAGCTGGGAAATTATTTGCAAATTATGGTATAGCCAATCTGACTTACCCACGCAGTCACAGGAGGGGATCTCCATTGATTGTTTGGAGGGGGTGTTGATGAGATTCCTGGTTGGGGTATCCAAAAACCTCATTGGAGACTCCAAAAAGCTGTTGATCGTGTGCTTGGTGGGAGTCTGTTCTCCAGCGTACACCATGTCTCCGTTCTCTGAATGTACACTGGATGCAGACAACACCGTAACACCTCCAGACTTCTCCACTTTGTAAAATCCATTCTGATTTGTGTGCAAGTGTTGATGACCATTAAAGCCATTGGCTTTATGGTACATCTCTGGGATTTGTGGCAAGTCTTTAAAGGGTTCATTGGCCATGGTTTGCAGAAGTTGTTGTTTAGCACCAGGATTTAGCACATCGTAGGTTTTTGATACCTGAGAAACCTTTTGTTCACATTCATGCCTTGGGCACTGGCTAGCACCTAGATGGTCATTTGTATGATTGTAAAAGTGTCCATTTTGTGGTGGTAAAGAATGACCTCCATGTTCATATTTAACGTGAAAGCCATTCTGCCTACCAGAACCAATGAATGTTTCCAAGTGCTCTTTCTTTGTGTTGTAGTATAAGAGCTGCCTGTTCTCGTGTTGAGCCTCTGCAATGTATTTTTTCAGGTCTATCTGGGCCTGGGGAAGAAAAGGATTTCTTTTGTGCTGGAACCTCATTTTATGTTGTGAAATGGCTTTCTGAATGGTGGCTTTGAGAGGGGTTTTCTTATTGGGTGTCTTCTTGGCCAAAAGAATCCTACAATGGTTGTCATCAATCTCAGCAACTTTCTTCTTGGACATCCTAGGATTTGATGGTGTCATCTTCGGTTTCCTCTGCTTTTTCAAATGCTGCCCCAAATAATTTTGATTGTATTTCAAACTCTGAGTAGCCATGCCATTTGGTGGACTGTTTTCAGAGACTTGCGCCTGCCTCGATTCAATCATAAAAGCAAGCTGTACCAACTGAGCCGCAACTTCCTCTTCATCCTTCTTTCTGTAGATGGGAGTCGCTTCTCCATGCCTATACATCTTAAAAGTGCCTTCTAACCGGTCCGATTTACAAAGTGCTTGACCGTTTCTTCGGTTCTCTGTGGTATACGATAGCTTTTCACATTCTGAGCTGGCCATCAGAAGGTCCTTCAGGGATAGTTTTCTGGGAGGAGGTGCACAGCGCTGACTTTGGGTAAAGTTGGTAGGTGTGTTCAGAGAGCTGCGGATGACAGAAGTCTGGTGCAAAGATGAACTAATTACCGAGACTTTGTTGGAGACAACATCTGTAGCTGGTTTAGCCTCCCGAATAGGTATGTGGTTGCTTGGAGCAGAGTATGTAGATGTTTCTTGCTGGGCGTCCTGAATCTGGTTTTCTGTTTTAAAGGGCACTGTTTGTGGGATAGCTGCCAGTTGGGTCAAGGCCTCAATAGCTATAGCCTGATCAACACTTATATTCCTATGTTGAACCAGAGACTGGACAGTGGGTAAAGATAGTGCAATGTAATCATTTTGAGGAGGTTCTTCTTGATTCAACTGACACTGATATGGTTCTTCTTTTGGCTCAGTTTTCAAACACACATCTGAGGTCTGAGAACCGAAAAGCTTCTCCTCAAGACTTTTCCTATCCGTACTAGAGAAGCAGACCACAGCTGCTAGAGTAGATAAAGCATCCTCATAGCACCCATTGGTCTCTAAGTGTTTGGAGTGCTGGTCATCAATCTCAAGCTGCTGCTCTTCCAGTTTGATCTTCTTCAGAGGAACCATCTGTTCTTGAACGACCTCAGGGGCATGCCTATTGTTAATGGTGGAGCTATGGAAATTGGCGGGTGTCTCGGTGGGATCCACATATCTCTGGGCATTTGATTTTATGTGTTCAGCACCATTATGAGAGGTTGAAGAGAAGCTGTGAGGGAGAAGTACATCAGTAGTCCCGGGATCCTTTCCATGAGGTTCTGGTAGCAAGCCATGCTGGAGAGGCGTGATAATATCAGGTGGAACATTGTGTGTTACGGGTATGTAATGCGCCTCTTCCTCTGGTGCCGCACAGGTCTCCTCCATCTGCTCTGAGCTTGTGCCATTTACTGAGTTTGCCTCTGACTCAACCTGCAGTGGAAAAATATAGAGATGCTTCAGCATGTTTTGGCTGTGGTGTGAAGCACTACATACTGCAATTGGTCAGCACAACTTGTGACAGCTGGTGCCACAGCAGATCATGGCACAGAACTTTGAGTAATTAAGCAATACACACAAAACAAAAGTACCCTTTACCTAATTCATCCAACACAGGCTCATTCTGAAAATGTCAGAAAGCCCTATATACATTTCTGGAGATTGCAAATTATGTAGTCAGAGCTACGTATGGCTGCATTTCATCTTTTAAACGAAAAATACGAGGCGGTATGACACCGCTTATCTGCATGTGGATGGCTTTTCTGCTGTTACTAGTTTGTCTGGTAGCTCAACATGTACGTTGGCTGACTTAAGATGCTGAGATAACTGCAAAAATGGGGTTGGAGTCTGGTAAGGAACGGTTCCAGAGAGCAGATGAGACAAAAACTGAAGCCAAAAAAAAAATAAACAAGTGGTCTGTCAGTCAGTAAATCAGTCGACAGCAGCCTCTGGTGGATTTACGTGAGAACAGCAGGCGCGAATGGCACTCACGAAAGAAATTTAAGATCTAAAAAAGCATATACATCACCGTGTTCCGGATAACTCCTGGGACGTATTTTGCTCTCTCCAGAAATGTATATAGGGGTATGTAATCAGAATGAGCCTGCATTGAATTCATCATTTGAAGATGCAAAATGTGAAACATTGAAAGATCACAAAAGTCAACATTGTTTTAATTTTAATACAGACCTGAAGCAATTAAAAACATTTTTTTACCCCCTAGTTTTACTAGCTTACATTAGCATGCTATAACACTAATTCTATTTCTAATATGCATTACACCAAGATTCCCGATTCTTAACTTTTATATCTTTATTTTAATCCACAATCCTTCAAGCCACTAGGTTTTACACATGTGCCAGCAAAGTGTTTATCATCATTTAAAATGTAAAACAAAAAAATGATCACTGATTTCCTTACATATTTTAATAAGTTCACAATAAACCTGTTGTTTTATTTTCCATAAATATGTGATGTTATAAATATTTAATGACAAATTAAACTTATCACTCACAGTTTTTCTCTTAAATTTTCATGTAAGATGTACAATACTTGCATTTACAATGCTTTCTGAGTATATAAAATCACTTTTGCAAATGCAGTGTGATGTGGACTCCAAAGTAGGACATCTTGTCTTTGACCCACATAGTTAACCATGCATGAACATGCATTCAAAACAATAAAAAAGCCATGTTGACCATCATGAGAGAAAAGCATGAGACAATTACAGTAAATGCACTGCATTAATAAGTTCAATTGAGAGCAATAATTTAAAAATACCACAATGTGAACATTATTGAAAACATTCATTACAGCCTCATAATTGTTTACTCCATACAGACAAGCAAATAGACGCAATGAAAAAAAGGCATGTGTACCTCTCATAAAACTATTTTACTACCTGTGTAAACCAATGTGAATAAAAATACTAAATACAAGCGAAAGTCATTCATACATATTGTGAAAACTGTGGTTTTATGTTTTTCGTACTTATAAACAAGTTAAATTTGTCTTTAGGTACAGTGTGCAAATACATTTACAGCACCAGCAACGTGCTATTCAGGAAAACTCCTTCATTTATCATTAACACTTATAGCAGGAGTAGGCTGATGCAACAGTGGGGTCGAAACAAGAGTGAGGCAATAACTTGGCAGCCGCTGCAACTGTTATTACTAGGGGGAATAGGAAGAGAATGGTAATCGGCTTCTCTGATGTTCCCATCCAGAAGTAAAACAAAAGTGGTCAGCATCAGATGAGTAAAACTACTTTCAATAACAAAGCAGTCTGGATGGGGACTAAATGAGAGGCTTTTCCAAATGTTTAGATCTTTTGCTTCCAGTGGTGCAGAAGCCCAAACCTTTAGCTGTTCTCTGCAACCCTCCATACCTGCTGATCATCTGAGATTTAAGTCAGAAAATGTGGCAAACACTACAAAAATAACATGGACCCTCGGAGCTGCATGCTGTGTAGTTCATGCAAATGATGGGCAAACTTAACAAAATGAATCCAAAGCAATGGTGTTCTAGTAAGACAGCAGTGATAGATCTTTTGGATGATAAAGAGAGTCAAGTATTTTACAAAACAGATACACGCTTTATAAATGGAGATTAAGAAAATCAAAAGCACTCCATTTGAGCCAGTTACTTCAATTTCTCTTTAATTAAACATGAAAATCAGTAGGCCAACGAATTATAGGTCAGATATACTTTGACAGCCTTTTGCCTTTTTGACTGAATAAAGCCTTGAAGGCTGATTTAAATAATCAGGTTTCTTTAATCATTTTGTTCGCTTAAACCCTGCTTATACACTGTAAACCCTAATGTTGTCTTTACTTAATTAAGTTGACTGAACATTACTTAAAATTCAGCATTTTGGTCCTACCACTTAAAAAATATGAGTTAATTTAACTTATGTAGCATAACATTGCATAAACTTAATATTTCAAGTGTAGTGAGCTCAAAATCATAATTAATCCTTTGAAAAAAAAATAGGTCATTCTCAAATGTAGTCTTATGTGCAACCTCTTCAGTGCAAGGTCTTTTTTTATTAGAAAACAAATGGCTTCAGGTATAATTATTCATTATGTTGTGAATAAATGGCTACTTATTGTTTGTTTAAAATTTATTTAAACATTTTTTCATAGTATATTATTACACACGCATGCACACACATGCAGTAACGGGATGAAATGTTTTGAAATTATTATTTATTTGTTATTAATGTAATAATGGAAATAAAAATGATGTTCTAATGGAACTACAGGGCACTAGAGGGTGCTGGTCAGACACCTGGAATGTATAATAGGTGAGTGGTGAATGAAGAAGAGATTCAGCTGTGGTTGCATGATTCCTTGGAGCTACTTTAAACTGTTTGTATTGTAAAGTCCTAGTTGGGAAACCTTGTATTTTAATATTTTAAGCTGAGTCTAAGGATTTTCTTATAGTCCAGACAGGGGCGCCTCCAAGGGGTGGCCAGGGGTGGCCACGGCCACCCCTCGGTAAACTCTGGCCACCCCTGTGGCCACCCCAATATAATTTTGCGGTTGACATTATTGATTTAAATAAACTTATAAATTCCCAATATTTAGATAAATAAATAAATACATAAATAAATAAATAAAATGCAGTCACTAAATTATTGTTGGTGTTACTGACGTAGCTCTCCCCCTCTGGTTCAATGCTGGTGAAAGCAAACTGACGCATGCGCGCGGAAAACCATTCCCGCGCGCCTCACGCACTCCTGTGTGAATCCCGGTTGGTTGTTTGCATGCACGCCGACATAATAGACACCGCTCATGCGCCGTGAAATAGGAGTAACAGCCTTTTGTGCAGAAGTGTCGGCACACAGCGAGTTTTGAAAGTCGTTTAAAGTTTATATAATATGATGATGATGATGATGATGATGATGATGATGTTACTTTCACTAAGCATGCCTTTAAAGCAGAAAGGAGGGATAATGAGTCAGGGAGGTAAGACTTCATAACATGATTTCTCAGCCATGATCTGGTCTAAGACCACAGATAATTCTATAATACATTTTTTGTATTCTTTAGAATTGTCATAATTAATTTTCATGCAAAAGGTTTCTCAAGTGATGTTGGCATATCACTCCAGTTGTTGTTTTCCAGTAATATTTAGGACTGATTTCTGTTATTTATTTAGAATAATAATTGTATAATAATATTATTTTATTTATTTAGAATAATAATTGTATATTAATATTAATTGTATTTATTTAGAATAAATATAAATAAATTGTTATATTTATTGAATAACAAATCTAACAATTCAAGAGAGGTGGGGGTGTATAGGGTGGTTCACCCAGGGTGTCATTTAAACTAGAACCACCACTACCCTCCCCGATCGTCCTTGACAGCACACACACACCTTCAATAGACAGCAATGGCAATTTAATATTTACCTTAAGCTACAGTATATCAATAGAAGAAGCTGCATTAATAAAATGGCTCAAAAAGCAATATGGATAAATGATATTATTAGGTATAGTGAGTGTGTATAGTAATGCCTTTTGTTCAGTTTGTTCATTTGTTTGGGTTATTAATAATTTCATTATTCTTTCATTCATTTTCTTTTCGGCTTAGTCCCTTTATTAATCCAGGGTCACCACAGCAGAATGAACCGCCAACTTATCTAGCACATTTTTACGCAGCGGATGCCCTTCCAGCTGCAACCCATCACTGGGAATAATAAACTCATTAATCTTCATTAATTTTAGACATGGCATATCTCGTATGATGTACAATAAAGGCACGTAAAAAAAGAAGTCATTTATACAGTATATGAAAAGTGTTTTTAAACTAAACATAGATTTTTATTTGGTTTGCACATGTACTTGCTGAATTATTTCAAAGAATAAATTGCAATATTTCAAGTAGAATTAATTAAATGAATAAAACTACATTATTTAATTTACCAGAAACAAAAATATAACATTACACTGAATTCATTTTTTTTGTGTGCCACCCCAAGATTTGGTGCGGCCTCTTCTGGCCACCCCTAAGAAAATTTTCTGGGGGCGCCACTGAGTCCAGATAACTGAATGTTTGGAAAATGTATTGGTACAATTTGCTGTCTAAATAAGATTTAACATTTTGGATACCATCATTATGAAGTTTCATTCCTCAATTATCTGCAAGTCGTTAAATCAACGCAATAGTAGATCAACATATTTCAACGTGCTCAATGTTCTTTTTTACTACGAATCAGTCACCAGTTTTTTTTGTATGTATGTGTGTGTGTGTGTGTGTGTGTGTATATATATATATATATAAATATAAATATATATATAGATAGATAGATAGATAGATAGATAGATAGATAGATAGATAGATAGATAGATAGATAGATATACAATTTATTTCTTAGATGGAAAATATGTTGAATTAAATGAAAGAATAATGTACCCAAAATTGA